AAAAAAAAATCACCAATTTTTTTATAAAATAACTCTCCAAAACCCTAATTCTCAAAATCAAACTATACAATACAAATTATCCAATTTTCGCAAAAATTCTCAACATACAACGAATCCCATCATCCAAGAACAATGTATAATCATTTAAGGCAACTATTAAATCAACAATAAATCTTTTCTAAACTATACTCATCAAAACCAACAAATATTTCTTACAAAATTCATAAACATATAAAACAAATATGTAATTACATTACATTAAAATAACAACTAACCTCTTTTCCGAATCGATTGATTGTTAAAAGCTTCTTTCTTTTTTTTGTTATTTTGAGGTGAATAATGGATGGAAGGAAGTGAATTTTTTTTTTCCTTTGGCTCGCAGCTTCAGTTCCGCAGTTTCTGGTAGAGGAGACCCAATTTTTTTACTTATATTTTGTTAAAAACCGTATTCTGCGAATACGTTTTCTATTTTTATTTTCTTAAAAAACGTATTCATTGTATATGTTTTATATTTTTTTTTTAATAAACAACGTATTTATTGTATACGTTTTATATTTTTGATTTTCTTAGAAAACGTATTTCTGCTATACGTTTTACCTTAATTTAATTTGTTAAAAATTAATTAATATTTAGAACCGTATTTATGAAATACGTTTTATAAAACGAAAATTGATTCATTTTATAAAACAAAAATTGATTTATTTAAGCTTTAGGGTTTCCAATTTAAATTTGGGGTTTTTTCAAAAACGTATTTCAGAAATACGTCCTTAAATTAAATTGTATATATACATTTTCGGCAATATGTTTTCTAAAAAAGTAAACAAGTTTAATTTAAGGACGTATTTGCTAAATACGTTTTTTATTAAAAAAAAAATTAAGAAAACGTATTTGCTGAATACGTGCTTTCTATTTTGGGCTTCCCACTTTTTTTTTCTTTTTTGTCCACTTATTTTTCGTTTTTTTTTTAAATAAATTACCCAATGAAACATCAGTTTTTGTATAGTTGCCTTACACTCACTCTCACACTCTCACACTTATAAATAAATAAATAAATAAAATAAAAAACACTATTCATACCTATATGTATATATCAATTTTACATATTGAACCTCATTAATTTTTATACAAATTATCAATAATGCATATGCATAAAATTAAATTAAATTGAAATAAAACTTTTATTAAATAAGTGAAACTAACCTATATGGATACAAAAATAATAAATAAATATATACGGAAAAATATAGTCACATTGTCTTTAGATGTGGCCATAGATTCTGGCTTCCAATTCAGTGTGTTCAAATTTCTTAAACTGGAATCAACCCTCATAAAAAGGGTTCATGTCGAAGTGGAGATTTATGTTTAGATTCAAAATAGTTTTCTTATAATGCATTTGTTTGCTAAAACAATCAAAATTTTTTTTTTAAGCTATGGATTAAAAAAAATAGACTTGAGTTATATTCTAATATTGAAACTTATTTTTAACTGTATATATTTGAATTAGCTTATTTGAGCATTCTCTTGAGGATTAAAGTAACCATAATTAACTTACCTAACTTATCTTTAATAACTATCGATTTGAGAAGTTGAATGATCGAGCTCTAGTCATTTGGCATCGTTGTTTAACCAGATGTCGGTAGTATTGATATTGTTGTAGATATTGCTCTGCTCCTTGCTGTTGGATTGTTTCATGTGTTAGTCTATATACTAAAAAACTGGTTTTGTTACGAACTTATCTACGTTTGAATGAAAATCATATTTAACTAAATGCGTGTATATTCTATTATTTTGTATTGTAGACAATATAGTTTATCGTGTTGAACAAAAGCTCATATTATCAGTGTAAAATATAAATTGGTCCACAACCTAGATAAATTTAAACTGACTATTGTGAATGATTGAGTGTAATTTCGGAATTACTTGATCTTGAATAATAAATTCCACCAACACATTTAAAATGTAAATGAACTCGACCTCAGTTATTACTCGTATTCTTAATCCGTAAAATAATAGCGTGCATGTGCATTCAGTAGATACTTCTTTAATTCACGAAAAGGTGAGATTTGTTCTGCTAAACCAATAGGTTGTGTGAATTGTGGAATAATGTGGTTTGCATGGTGTACTGTTGATTATTTACGAACACTATGTCCTGATGCGTTGGATGATGAGATCCTCGAAATGAGCTCAAGAGGATTGTTATGCTAAACCCTGCTGTAGACTAAATATTTGGCATAATAATAATAAGATTGAGTGGTACTAGTTTCAAAATAAAAAGTTAACTAATTACGTTATTAACGAACATTATATCTTAAACATGGGAGCTAAATCGAGTAGATAAAAAAACTGGAACCTAATGTAATTTGGGGGTTAGATAGGATGTTCAATAGTATCCTTTAGTGGAATAAAATATTTTTCATATATATTAGATATAGGCGAACCAAGACCTAAAACATCTAATCCTACGGAGAGTCTTTATTTCCTTCTGAAGGTTCTTGTTATTGCCTATAAATACATCATCAATTCATAAGAGTTCAGCCACCCCTTCTCACGAGAACACATGCATACGTGAGTTCGAAAGAGATAGAAAAATGTGAGCTTAAGAAAATAGACAAAAATATAGTGTTTCACAATATACGTGGATAGGGGCACGTGGCCTAACAGAACTGAGCAGATCAGGCAGTTCAGGTTGTAATATCGGGCAGTCTGGGCAGGTTAGGCAACCCATCTGGGCAGTCTTGGGCAACAAGGTATCACCTCCCTATATGAAGGAGTGAGGTACGCCTATTATCACATTACATTCTCTATTATTCCATACACTCACTTCATCTTCCACAAATGCTTATATAAGCATCAGAGGCTCTTCACTGGAAAACACCTCTAGTGTGAGAGTTTTTGCAGGTTCGTAGGCGATCTATTGACGAGGAAGCTCAAGTTCAAATTCCAACCGGTCTGAGGTCTTTTGCATACAATTTTGGCGTCGTCTGTGGGAACTTTCGGTCAAAAAGTTGTGTTCACCATAGCCATAGCCGACGAAATTCCCAGGATGATTAGAGCATACCTTTGACAAGGAGTGGCAGAACTCTCGATCGTTTAGAGTAGGCCCACCATCAGGCTTCTCTGGACCTTCACAGACCCCGATGACCCCAACACCTCGTCCTGTGGGCTTAGGGAGTTCATCTGTGGCCCCAACTAACGTTGCGGGTTCGAGCCAACTGCAGGAGGCTTGAGAAACTAGATCTTTACCGCCCAACTGAAGCCCCCTTTCAACGGCATCACAACTGGATAGACAACACCAGGAGACTGCCACCACCACTTCCCTTAACACAAACCGACAAAAAAAGGACCCATTCCACCAAAATAGAGAAATTCCCCGCCGGAGGCATCCGTTCAAACCTCGCACTAGAGAAAAGATGGAAACCGAGGGAACCGGCAGCACCAGTCCTAGCACCGGCCACCGAGAGGAAATCGAACGGGGCTTGCGAAACCCTCTTCGGTCACCTAATGACGGAAAACGTCGTCAAAGCCGCCCGACATGTGGGAAGCTCCGCAATGGGAGAAGGAACCGCAAACCAACAACAAAAAAGGTTCGCCCATGGTGCCGATCACCTTCGGAGAAAAGCGTAGGTCGCCGTTGACGTGAAGAGGTGTCATATGAAATGTGTGAAGGTGTTTGGGATTGGGGATTTTGAACAGTACAATTCGCAAGAGCGAGAGGGAGCGGATTAAATATGTTGTATTGTATTTGTTT